GGGTTTAGGGGGTTCAGGGGGTTTGGGGGGGCTTAGGGGGTTTAGAGTTGAGGGCTTAGAGCTCCTGCAAGCGGTTTGGCTAGCTTGGAGACTTGAGTATGTAATCAGGAGAGACGTGGTGGAAAGATTGAGTTGTGGGACGAGGAGCTGTGCCAGATCGTAATGTTTCAAAGAAATCCTGGGAACCTTCGTAGCAGAGTGGGTAGCCCTTAATCTGTCGATATTGTTATGATCCTATCAAAGCTAGCAGGTCATGGTTTGTTGTCAAGGGAATTTGTCAACCGGTGCGATAGCAATACCCATAGGCCCCATAGCAGTTCCTTTTTTTGTGGCTTGTATCTAGGATCCAGTTAAGTAATCCCAAAAAGGAACTACTATGGGGCCTATGGGTAGTAGCTTGACAATACTCTTCGCCGTCAGAATCGCCCGCTCAAGCCCTGACCCTACACCCTAAACCAAGGTTAGACGTATGGGCCCCTAACATGCAACCCTTAGGCCTTCTAGGGGGATTCTCGGGACCCTCAAGGGTACATGTAGGGTATATAGTAGGTATATAAGCATCCCAGGGTTAAGGGCCCATACTAGGAGCCCATGGCGTCAACCTTAGATCTAAGCCTTCAACCTCAATTCAATCTCCCCAGATGTCAGGAGCTTAAACCTGCAAACCAAAAATCCCTGGAACCTCCTAAACCAAGCACGAAGCTCCCTAAATCCATTAAGGCCGTGACAAAGCATCCTATCCAGAAATCTTAAACCGCCCCTAAACCCCTAAAGCCTGAACCCGAGCTGCAGACCCGAAGCCCTGCGCCCCAAACCCCAGGCCCCACTAGCAAAGAATGCACAGAGGTCAGCCCTGGAAGTCTTAAATGGCTTCAGACACCCCACAATCCCGGCCCTCAACCCTTCTTCAACCCTAAGCCCACGCCGTACCTGGACCCTAATTTAACGAACCTACCTTGTTAGGGTTCCTGAGTATGATTTCCTTATATAAGTCCATGAAAAGGCAGGTTATTTGTGGTAAAGGAAAGCATGAATCCAAAGAACTTTCAGAGGTCAGCGTTGACCCGAAGATGGTGGGCGGCCATGAGTTCGGCTCTGCGTCATGCAAATAGACTAGGGATGTGATGTATGTTGCAGTATACTGAGAGATGAGTGGTTGGGGGGGCATGATACAGTATGGTTTAGTTAAGTTTTATGGGGCAAAAAGCAGTTGGTGTACGTTATGGTATACGTCAGGGGACTGCAACAAGAGGATTCCTGCCCAATACCATTCCTGGCAGGACTAGCTACTGCAATTCTACTATAACATACCCCCCACTTCCTAGTCTATAGGACCCTTTACGAGCACTATTCCAGTCATTAAGGCCCCTCGATTACACGAAGATCCAGATCGACTCTGGGCCCTGAGTCCTACATCCAAAGCCCCACGCCGCCAAGCCCCCATCCCTCAAAGCCGAAGCTCTAAACCCAGAAACCCCTAAACCCCTAAACCCATAAATCCATAAACCTCTAAAGCCCTAAACCCCTAAACCCCTAAACCCTAAACCCTTATCATCATTAAGTTTCAGGAGGTCAGGAGTCAGGAATGTCGAGCACAAAATCCAGTGGCCTAAGGTTATTCAAAGCTTTTCCTTATAGGGCCTATAGGGGATCGATCTGGATTCGACCATAGTGGTGGGCTAGCTATTTAGAATGGGGTTTGGGGTTTCTTATGCCAAATGGAGAACCTCAGGAATTACCGGAGGGGCCTCAATAATTTGAATAGGGCCTGAGGCCCATTCTACTATATTTAAAATAAGGAACCCCCAACATAATCGACATAATATAGGTAATTATTGAGGCCCCTGAATTACTCCGACCTCTCGAGCCGGTAGAGCACAAGACCATGACCGGAAGCCAACCAAACGCATTGATCAATGCGCACGTCAGCTCGAGAACATCAACTGACGAATCTGACGATGAACTGCTCGCCACTGTGGAGCCGAAGCGATTTATGTAGAGGCCTTCATAATTGGTATAGGGTTTTGAGGGTTCCTTACTATACTTAGAGTATAACATACACCCAACCCTATTGCCGTATTCTACTTATTAAGGCCCCTATATTATGCCGTGCTGGAGTGCTAAATGCGAATCCGTCGGACCCCGGGCCCTGGAAACCCAAAGCTGCTAAAAGCCCTAAACATTCTAAACCCGTAAAACGGTCTAGGGTTTAGGGTTTAGGGTTTAGGGTTTAGGGTTTAGGGTTTAGGGAACCCAATCCCTACTTAGGGATTAGGGTTTAGGGAACCCTTTGGACATCGCAAAGCCTACACAGCCTCTAAGCTGCATAGCAGCCCCATAAGCCCTAGACGCTTGAATGAGGCCTACTGGTGGAGGCAATCGGCAATCTGCATGGCATCATCGCCGAGCTGAAGCGGGCGCGGCAAGTGAAGCTCTGTCAGGAGAAGCTGATTTATCTGATCTGGGGTTTATTGTTTCCGGGGTTTCGGCTTTTATAGTTTATCTAGGGTTAATAGGGTTTAGGGTTTCAGGGTTTTTGGTTTAGGAAGCTCTGTCAGGAGCGGCTGAAAGTGGTTCTGCAGGGATGCATGTGTGGTAACCCGGTAGCATCTTCGGTTTGGGTTTCTCGGGAACGGTCATGGCCTGCGATGGACAGGTTTTGTTGACCTGGTTGCATCTTTGACGCAAGGCCGTGGTCCCTCCGGAGTTCTGCTTTGCGGCACTCGAGGGTGAAAGAACTAAGGGGACAGGGTTGATACAATGCCGATTCAGCAGCGAACCCGAGCCTCCTAGCAAAGACGAGAAGGGAGCTTGCCTGGTTGGGGTTGCGGCCTGTGTCGGGGGTGTGTCGGGGTTGAGGGCAAGGGGGGTTACAGACGGAAAAACTTCAGGCCAAGCCAGAGACCGTGCGTCAAAAGCAGCGATTACAAGGTTTAGGGGACTACAAGGCTTGTCTTGTGACTGACAGGAGATCACGGACGCCTGCGTAGCCACTCGGATGCAGTCTGAACAAGTGCAGCCTCCAAGCTTCAACTGCTCCATCTAGACTCTAGGCGGACGAAAACGGGAAGTTGTTTTTAGTTTTTGGAGTTCACTGCCTTTTTGGGTTCACCGCACTCATGACGAGGATCCTGTAATGAAGGCAGCGAGCCCAAAACGAAGCTATAATGGAGGCTATGGATAGGGTTTGAGATTCCCTGTTTAAGGTTTGGATTTAGCGTCTTTTGTCAAATCCTCGAAGTCCATTACATGGATTTCCCGACATTTCGGACAAGGTCCCGAAACCGTCCGGCATACCAGCTATTGAATCCGAAACCATGGCCGTCACACATTCAAACGCCCCAAGCACCCACCGATTCTGAGAAGCAACTCCCCGCACCCATTCAACAAAAAACAGTGTCGGCCCGTCACTCTGCGGCCAAACTGCATCCGGAAAAGACCCGCCACCCTAAAGCCCTCAAGCCCGCGTGGTCTTCAGCAACCAGCGCGTCGACAAACCCTCGAAAAAAGTTGTACAACTCCAATACCCCAAGTTCCACATCCTAAAGCACATTAAATATATATATATATATATATATGTATATATATATATATATATATAATATACACACACATACATACATGCATCTACCCCGCACGCAAAACCCCAAGCCCTCAACTGCAGATTCCTCGCAACAGGCCCAAAGCTCCAGACCCCAAAGCCTAAACCCCAAACTTGCCTATCTAGGTTCCTCAGTAGTGTGCTTTTAGGGTTTAGGGATTAAGTTTAAGGTTTAGGTTTTGTATGGTTCCCTGATTAAGCTGAATAGCAGGAAAAGGGTACCTCCCCAGCGGGATAACCTAGCTATAGTAATCCGCTTTAGCGGGATCCAGGCAACTAAACAAGATAGCAGGTTATTGGGCTAGATATCTTGTGGTTGCATATGTTTTAGATGCTAAACCCTAAACCCTAAACCCTAAACGAGGTTGAGGGAACTCTAAAGCCTCGAGAAGTCCTCTTGGCAAGGATCGGCTGCAGGCCGCGCGCGGAGAATATCCTTGCCGGGCCGCAGAGGCTACAGCAGAAGCTCAAATGTTGGAAACCCAATAGCGTCAATCCTTAAGACGAATCATGTATAGGGAATCCCAGCACAAATTGTCCTTAAGCCGGTTTTCAATAAACCCGAAACCATAAACCCTAAACCTTTTTCGGGGCTTACTATATGGAGCCCTTTAGGGGCTCCTTTGGGGGGCCGGGCTCTGGGTGCAGGGTTTAAGCGGAGTGGGTTTTTGATTCATGAGGCTTTGTAAGTTTGAGAGGTGTTCATAAAGGTTTTAGGGTTTAGGGTTTAGGGCTTTCATAAAGGGTTTAGGGCTTTTGACGCTTAAGGTTTTACGACAAAACGTCCGACGCAGGCATGAGCCACAAACAAGGGCGAATGGCCAACGCAAACACAAACGACAGAATGATGCAGGTTCTGCTTGGTTGTTGTGCTCCGTCGAGCCGAAACCTTTCCGTACTAAAGACTACAAGCATTGACAAGGGCATAAGCAAAGCGAGCAAAGGAAGGAATAGCACACACCACAACGAGGCTCAACGACCCGAATGAAAGTGTTCTTATAACTTATAACGCTTAGTTGTTAGGCTTGCTGGCATCGCTTTGCTGGCTATGCTTGTGCTTCAGAGGTTTGGTTGTGCGCGTCAGGATGGCGGTGCCATGAGCTGGCCCGATTTTTGGTAAGGGTCTATATAATCCTAGATAGTATCAGGGAGACCCTTAAAGGGTACCCCTTCTGAACCCTACTTTCGGCTCCCTTGAAGGGGACCTTATTGAGAGGGTCTATATCCCCAAGGTCCCCCTAATCCTAGCTCCCATATAAGGTTTAGGGTTTAATGGGGTCTGGGCCTTTAACAGGTGATCACGGCCGCCAAGCAGAATGAGCTGGTGAATCAGGCCAGCCGCAGTGCAGAGACGCTTCAGCAGGGCAGTCTGCCAGCCTCGCTCATCAAAGCATCAACCACAAAGCCCCAAGACCCTAAACCCCCAAAGCAGAATACCTTGAACCTAGAGTATCCCTAAGAAAAACAGATCCCCTCATGTATACACTTTATAAAGCCGACCCTAAACCCCATCACATTCCGATTCGGGACTATAATGCCTTGAGGCCAGCATGGCCGTTGCTGCTGCCTCCTTTATTGCTGCTGGACGGTTGGGCATTGGGTTTAGGGTTTAGGGTTTTTGGACGGTTTAGGATTTAGGGTGGTTTAGGGTTTAGGGTTTTAGGACTGTTTAGGGATGAGAGTTTGGGGCTAATGTAGACTTGAGACTCAGACATACTAAGACGAGAATCCTAAATCCCAAAGCCTTAAACCCTAAACCCTAAACCCTAAACCCTAAACCCATCCTGGGGCCCAACGAGACCCTAAACTTAGTGTTTGGGTCGCAGGATTCAGGGTGTACATGGCCTCCCCCACAAAGCCTACCAGACGCT